AGTTGTCTCCTGTGCGCGATAAGACTGAGCTCAGGTCTTGGGACTGAGTGAGTCCCAGAAATATAAATTCTTTTACTCTGGTGCCATTCTCCAACTCCATTGAATCATGTTTCCTCTTCCTTGTATAATTTGGGAATAATTAATAGTGTTATTTCAGAAAGTTTTTGCCCTCCCTTAATAGATTCACATTTGGAGTCAGATATTAGGTCTGAAAATTTGTAAGTTCCTATCACCATATTTTGAGGCTACTGCTAGTGTGTCCAAAATGTCATCATTTCACACAAGCATCCATTTAATTATTCTTCCTTCTGTAAATTAAAAATATTTTAGAAAATTCATAAAAATAATGTTTCTAAGTACAGAAGTTTTAAGTATTCATGATAAAGAGGTGGATGTTAAATATTCAGAAGGGGACTATTGGGTCATGGGAAATACACAAATGGAGTTAGTTTTGTGTGTCTAGAACAGGTTGAGTTCCACAGGGGTGGAGTTTTGTTTTTTTTTTTTTCCATATTGGATGCTCCATTTAAGCGTTTTTAGGAACACCTGCCTACCTAATAATCACCTCTGGATTGAATTCTACAGAAGTGCTCTACCCTTTTAAAATCACAAATTTAATTCCATGCGAAGTTAGAAAATTTTAAAGCCATAAAATTCTTCTCTATTGCTCTGTTCTTCCTTAAGGGGGCTTCTTTGTTTCTCCCTTTAAACTACTGTAGGTACTAAAATCCCCAGGTGGTGAATAGCTCCTCAGCTGTGGAAATAAAAGTAGTAATCAGAGATTCTCTTCTTTTAATCTTTTTAGTCTCTTTCTTAAGAATTGTTTAGCGAGCTGTCATTGAAATACAGTAGATATGTAATATGCAAATACGTAACGTGCATATGTGCATTGACTGCACATATTTAAAATGTGCACTTTGATAGATTTTGACAAAGAATATACCCATGATACCATTGCTAGCTTGTATTTTCTAGAATTTTCTATAGTTCGAATCCCACTATACGTGTATGTACTCTCTTTTGTCTGGCTTCTTTCAGTCATGAAATTCATCCATGGGTTTATGTGCACCACTATCTTGTTCTTTTATATTGTATGGATGTGAACATTTGTGTACATGTCTTTGTGTGGACATATGTTTTCATTTCTCTTGGGTGACTACCTAGGAGTGGAATGGCTGTAACTTAAAATTCATTAACGAGAAAACGAACAACCCAATTTAAAAAAGAACAAAAATAAATAAATTTAAGAGACAGAAGTAGAGAGTAGAATAGTGGTTATCAGAGGCAGGGAACGGGAGGAGGGAGGGTGGCTGAGGAAAGGTTAGCAGACTGGTACAGAGTCACAGAGTTACGGTTAGACAGGAAGAATAAGTTCTGGGGCCCTACATAACAATAGCTAATAATACTGTATCGCATATTTCAAGATAGTGAGAAAAAGGGATTTTGAACGTTATAACTACAAAGAAATGGTAAATGTTTAGGTGATAAATGTGCTACGTATTCTGACTAGATCATTATACAATATATGCATATAGTGAAACAATAAACTGTGCCCCATAAACGTACAATGAAAAAAAATTAAAATTAAAAAACAAAAGGACAAAGAATTTGAACTGATGCTTCAAGGAGACACAGGGATCGCAAATAAGCACATGAAAAGATATTCAACTTCATTTGTCACTGCAGAAATGTAAATTAAAACCACAGTATAAATTAAAAAACAGTATACACTTATTAGAATAACTTATAAAATAAGAAAGACTCATTCACCTTTAGCTCCCTCCAATAAGTGAAAACATGTGGTATTTCTTTTTCACTGCCTGACTCGTTTCACTTAATATTATTCTTTCAAGGTCCATATAAAAATTTTAAAAAATAAAAAAAAGAAAGACTGATATATTAAGATTTGGGCAAGGATGTGCAAGAACTGGAACCCTACAACAGCTTTTGAAAACAGTTTGGAAGTTTCTTAAAGTGTTAAACATAAACTTACCATAGCATCGTGTTGCTTTTGAATTCCTTCATTTTTCTTTTTTTGGTAAATTCTTGAAGTGGGCCTTAATGTCTTTTTTCCCACTTTATCTCCCTTTTTCTCCCATAATCAGAAACAAAAGAAGGGCAAAAGTTACTTTCGTTCCATTTTGGGGGTGTGTTTTGCAGTTCAGATGAAGATATTTTTTTTCACCAGCTCACCTTCCCTCCAAGTTTTTTTCTCCTGCAATTTTGTCCAAAATCTATTTAATATGGAAGACTAAACAGTAAAACACAAGCTACCGAGAGAAATCCTAGCTTAGAGGTGGATACCTGGTGGACTGTGGCCACACACAGCCTGTTCGAATCCCAGCTGAGCACTTACTGCTTATGCTAACACAAGCAAGTTACTTCACCTCTTTGGCCTCAGTCTTTGCATCAGTAATTTGGAGACAGAAGCATCTCCTTCATACAATTTTTGTGAGGATTACATGCATTAATCTGTGTAAAGCATCAGTACTTAGAGCATTGCCTAATCTGTAATAAGTGTGATTGTACATGTGTTACCTTAAAGATAAACACTGGGTTAATAACTCTCATAGACACATAGCTTCTTCAAATATACTGACAATCTTTTAGGGGAGCTGTATGTTTCCCAGAACATGTATCCTAAAACAACTTCATCAGAACATAGTATTTTGTGGGAAATAGGAGGTATTTTTCTTCTAGTGACAATGAGTGTCCCAGAAGGTGGTGACAGTGCACGATAGTAAGAAGTGTGTTTGCTGGGTTTGGCTTCCTGTCTGACATCTTCTTAGCAGACCAGAGAAGTTGTTCAGGGCAAGGACTCTGGTGTGAGAGCCATCTAGGTTCAAGTCCTGGCTTTGCTACTGTGTGTGATTTGGGCTTGTGCACAACCTCATTGAGTCTCCACTTCTTCATCTGTGGAATGGGCATAATAATAATACCCACCCCACAGGGAAGTTATGAGGATTGGGTGAATTCACATATGTAAGGGTCTCAGCATACGGGCTGGTTATCTGCTATAATTACAGCTATGTTGGGTAAGCTTAACAGTGCAGGCTTACCAGTAGTGGAGTGTGTTCAACTAAATTATAGCTGAGCTATCTATCCTGACTTGCTTAAAGAGGGAGGAAATGGTCACTGCCTGAGAAGACCCAACTTAGTTATAAAAGTCTTCCACAGGGACCCCCATGGGAACAGCATAGTATGGTCTACACAGAAGGGTAGAGGGTCGACAGAACCTCAGACCCCAGGCCAGACCTGTTCTTCAGGAAGGAATAGGTCCCATGTTCACAAACTACCTCTGGTAATTCAGTGACAGCATTCTCCAGCTTCTGCTCACTCCTTCTACTATTTTTAATCCTTTCAGCAAATATTGATGGAGCATTGTCAGAGTTCTAGGTTATCTGAGCAAAAGAAGTGTGATCCAAACACAATGGGAAAAGAATTGAAATCTAATAATTATATGGGAGTGACAGGGACCACCCAAGGACAGATGAAAAGTTGAGTGTGAGAAGAGGA